TCGTTTTACGCCTGCAAATCAAATTTTGAGAGACTTCCTGTTTGGTATAAATTCTGAAACATTTATTTCCAATTTTATAAATTATTCTGCCATTCCTACGAGATATGCATAGTGGTATTAATTCAAGATAATTAAACCACAATTATGTTCTGCTGAATAAATTACGGTGATTAGGTGTCTGCAGGAGATTAGTAAAATTTGTGACCGTTTTTGATTCAATTACGGTTAAGAGCAGCATTAAGTAATCAAGTTGTGATGTATACTTCCGCCTTTTAGAAACTATCGGACAGAAATGGTAACTATTCGAGGAAATTTACGAAAAATGTCTTTTCGACCAAAACGATTTAAAAAAAAAAATGTAATCCGCAAAATTGTGAAGAATGTTGTCGACTTGCTGCTTCACATATCAGAGATTCTCGCAATTTAGAGAATATGTATACAAAGTTGTAGTCAGAAATTTGTTATTTTGTGGAAAGAAGGAGGTGGGGAGGGAGGGAGGGAGGGTAGGAAGGAGAGGGAGAGGGAGAGAGAGAGGGAGAGAGAGAGGGAGAGAGAGAGAGAGAGAGAGAGAAGAGAAAGAGGGAGAGGGGGATCATTAGTTTCGTTAATATAATTTCCTTATTTTAGTCGCAAAAACTACCGAATACCTGTTATCGCGTTGTTTGGGCTTTCGCGTACTCTTTTTGCATTACGTAAATTCACGTTCCAAATTTTCAATCTTACCTTTATGCGAAATAATTTTCATTACACTTCAGAAAGGTCGCTTCTGGCGAATAAACAACAAGCCCATTCCACAATTCCCGTCGTGTCTGAATAGAATCCAGAAATGCGCATTTGGTTTGTAAATATTTAATAGTAAATCACCGCTTAAAATACATAACGAACCACAAAGTACACTCTTTGCACGCTCTATAATCCATGTCTGCAAGGAACTACAGAAAATATTATTTTTTTTAATTCCAATTACATCTATGAATTATTAAGAGTATAGATACATTAAAATACTCCCATTCTAAAATAATGATAAGAAATTTGCGAGCATTTTCATGCGCGGTCGAGAGAGATGTTTATCTCAAAGAACGTGTATACTGTTATACTGTTTTTCCTCGCGAAATTCTAGATCCCATTGTGGAGGAGAGGCCGCTGAGTGACACTCCAAAGCGCGCACCCGCCCCATTGAGCGGGGGCGAGGGTCCCACGCGGGCGAGCACCTCCCAAAGGGCGAGACGTCCTTTGCGACGAGTTGCGTCGATATCGCAGCAAAGGAGCGAGCGGCGCTGCCCGAAACCAGAGACGCACTTCCCGGCAGGAAACGCGGCTACTGTAGCGAACGCGCGGCCCACAATGGCGCAGGGGCGAAGGGCGGAGGGCGAAGGGCCTCCACCCCCGCCCCCGCCCCGACCCCGCCGGCGACAAAGCCTGGCACGGCAACCCGACCCGCGACCGCTCGGATGCTGCCACAATGCCCTCGCTACAAAGAGACCTTTTCCTCGGTGAAAAGATGCTTTTTATCGCAATGGTTTCTTGCACAGGAAAGATTTTTATTCCTTCACTTCTGCCCTTGCTCATCCGGCAAAGCATGAATAAACCAGGTAAATTTATAATACGTTGTTTGCGAAACACTTTTTAAAAATAACTTTATTTTGGGTGCAAATGTGATGGGAAGCCACGATGAGAATATTGCTAAACTTGTTTTCTATGTAACTTCAGAACTATCTTGCTGGTCTACTGCCAACCACTTTTAATCATATACATATATTTTTTGTTGGGTAAGTCACTTTGTACGATGTATAATTTGTACGAAAACTGCTGTAAATTAACTAAGAGAAACCATATCTTTAAAAAACTCAAACCAGTGCTTCACAAAAGAAAGACAAACGGGTTCATCCAGTATTAACGGAGGGAAAGCACGAAATGGAAAAGAAATTAAAAATAAAGATCGAAAACTGAGTAGACCAAAATGGGAAGTTCAAACAATATTTGGTTTAAAATGGTTCAAACGTAATTTCTCGACGGAACCCTATAAGTAACTGCTGATTCAAAGCCCAACCACTGATGAGAAAATCATCTATCTATTACTATCTTGTAACAGTAATTTCTTCATATTATCAAAAGCATTTCAACTTGAGCCGTGAAGATAGAGTGTGTGTATGAAGAAACTAGACTCTCTTAACCTTGAAGTAGGTTACTAGAAAAGCAAATGCTTCTTCGATAGTCACGACACAACAGAACGCATATAATCTTGCTCACTCCTCATTGTATTCAGAAGTATTCAGTGAGTCAATCTGCGTAGGCTAACTACAACTGTGTATTAACATTATCGCTAGTTTCATTCTTTGTAATGTTAGTTTTTTGGAACAAAAAATAACGTTAGTTGAAGAAACTTTACATGTTCCTTCTCTTTTGCAATCAATTTTCTATACGTGGCTACTGATTCAATTTTAAGTTTTCCGCTGCATTAAAGGGCTAGAGTTAATTTTTAAATAACGCTGGCCAAAAATTGGTACAATTCAATACCATTGCAAGAAATGGGAAGAATTGATTGAAAGAACCTATTATGAAGTCAAAACTAATTTCAATTGTGTTAATTATTTCTTTTTTTGTAATGAATTCTCATTATGGCTGAAGTTTACTGACTGACAATCACTGCGACATTCGTTTTAATGTGAAGAAATATTTTGCCAAGATAACAGTTGTAGTTTCGTTAAACGTTCTATCGACGTACGGCGATTGAGATGTTGCACAACATGTGTGTAATGATAATGGACTGGCTGAACTCCTACATTGTGGGAGACGAAAGAATGACATTGTCGACCAAGACTCGGACCTAACTATTCTCTGTCAATTGTACCTTGGTCAGGCTCAAGGATGGTTAATTTAAAGTGCTTAGATCGAAGGTAGAAGCTTCGTCGTGACGTTGGACACCCCTAGCGAAGAGTCACTATGCCTTGGAAGTCTGAGATTATAAATAGGACGCGATTCCGATCACGGGTATTCGTCGTAAGTGCAGTGGACCAACATTGCACGTAAAGGCGGCACCACACATTCGGCCTCTGCCGCGCTACTGCTCGCCCAGTCCCGAACAGCTGATCTGTGTTCCGTGAATGTTCGCTTACTCCGATGTGTCCGAAAGATCAACAAGCGGTGCATAGGTCGAGCACCCACCGAATGTTCGGCACTCGGCAAATAACAAGCAACTCACCCACACTACGAATCGTAATAATAGTAATCGCCGAATAACGAACGTGTGGAGCCGCAGTAAGCTTACAAAAATACATTAGTCTCTTTATAATGGTTAATGATTCCACACTTAACATTTACAAACCACGAGGTAGGTATTGTATCACAGGCACAGCACAATGGCACAAAGTCCCAGTAATGCAGTACAATAGCCCAAGTAATGACTGAGTCCTCGCCCCCCCCCCCGCCCCCCCGTCATGCAACCGACTGCAAACTGGGAAAGCGACATCGATATTGATATTTTCAAAATATCAATATTTCTGTGAAAATATTTATTTATGAACGCTGATATTTTTGTCACGGATATTTTGTATTTGATGCTTATATGTTTCCAATGGCTTTTAAAAAAATACATAAACAATATTGTTAAAATTAGAATTGATAATTGTTCAGATAATGTAATGGATCAGATTAGGTAAACTGACGAAGCGAATTATTAATTGGATTTTTGGTGAGGTAGATACCTTTTTATTATGATAAATAAATAAAGATATTGTCTGGTATCAATATTTTAATTCAGCTTATGATCATTTCGATCGCGTAGCGATCATCCTCAGAGCTTGCAGCTTCTGGGCCGAAAACAAAGTGATGACCTGATGAAACGAAATGATAAGCTGAATTAAAATATTGATACCAGACAATATCTTTATTTATTTATCATGACGAAGCGAAAATTGATATTCTACCTTCACCGAGCAGACATCTCCCCATGGAGAGATGACCCCGATGCCGTGGTATTTTCTTTGCTTTTCTTATATTTCAGAGAAGGTGTCAACGCGTGTGCAGTAAGCACCTTGTGCCTGTATTTTCTGAGGAATCTTGGTATGTTCCTGAGCATTCAGGAGTTTATGGTCAGTTTTGATCATTGTTCTTATATGTTTTCGTTTATTTTGACAAATCTTTAATTATAAAAGGATAAATACGGTCACAATAAAATTAAATACTTAACCGCAAGAACGTAAATGTTACAGGTTACTATTGCTAACACCTTTCAAAAAACATCGATGGTTTGGGGGCAATGTATTATTAATAGGGGGCGGATTTTATTGAAATGCCATTTTTTCTTTTCACTTTAAACCAATAATTTTAGTATAAACATTAATTTTATGTTATGTCAAGAAAAATAATTCATTTTTATAAATCAGTTTTGTTGATTTCGACTAATAAGTTATTATTTCCGTCATTTTTAAAGCATTTTCCGCACATTTCGTCGATTTATTCATCATTTTAATGATACTTTCTTTAAATAATATTTCCAAGATTCAACAAATGTATTCCACAGAATTCGTGAGTAGCCTATTCGATGTCTCCGCTCACAAATTGTCGTATCATGCGTTGTGAGTATCTATACTACGGTTCTAGAGACACCTATAAGTGCCATTGTCGGGTCAGCCGATTTTGGAAAAACTAAAGACTATTTTTCTGTTAATGAATAGACAGAACCAAACGTTTGCAAGCTAAGTTCACTTTAGCGGAAGGAGAAAGACTCAATTACATTAGTAATATGTCCAATACCTTTAGATGTTCATCTGAACTGGTTTTGATCAAATGTTTTCATTGACATTTTTAATTGCTTTAAGCACATTTAAAAAAAATTAAGAGCATTTAATGATCATTTTTTTGCAGTGTTTCAGGTCATTAAAATCCGGCCCCTAACAATTAACATGGATGTCGCCTCCCTCCTGCAAGCGGGCGAGCGGGGCGGGGGCGAGCGTGGGCGTGGGCGTTAGTGAGTTCAGAGCGAATGCGACTGCACTTACCAGAATCTCCTCCACACTGGGCCAGAGCTTGGCCTTCGCGAGCCCCACCACCTCCGCGCTGTCAAGGGGGCCGTCGCGGACCTACGTGCAACAAACCACTCAGTTAATGAAGCCCCGGGAGCAGCGCGCTCTAGAGAGGGCAGCGGGGGCGGCGGAGGAGACGCGGGACATGCGGCCGCCCGGCCGGAGGGCGCACAAAATTTCGAGCCCAAACGGCGGCGGTGCATCGAGGAACCAATGGGAGTGAAGTCGCTTTCAAAGAGATTTTAGTTCTTTCCAAGCAGTAAAGAAAAAGCGCGAGTGAATGCCATTTCCCACTTCAATGAGGTGGTTTCACATAAAGAACAAGCGACGGTTGATAAATTGTGTTTAATGAAGTTTTGACTAATGTAAAGTTCTTGGTTCCTAGATAACATCCACCAGTTTAAGAAAAAAAACGAAATTTTGAAACACCTCTTCAATATCGTCCATGGGAAAAGATCGTATATGTTTAGGATAGTGAGGATGAGGAAGAGGGAAGTGAAATACATACACACTAGTAAAATAAAATAAAATAAAAAAAACAAATATCGTGAGTTTAAAAAACAATGAAATTAATTTTTCTATCTTCTGCATTTGGATTACTGTTTTAGCACTATTTGCGGATCATTCGGCACGGCACCATGATCCAGAGAATGTTTTGCTTTTCCAAACTTTATTCCTTGAAATATTTAGTAGATTTATATAGTGAAACTGTATACACTCCCGTGTGATTTTTAAACTTTTTTTGCAAGTGGCAGTGATAATGCGCACTGGCAATTGTCAAAACAAAATGTGTTCAATATCACTGCGTAATCGTTTCCAATATTGTACTAACACAACAAAAGATTGTGATGGGCTTCTTTAATTCCCGAATTATTTATTCATCCTCGTCTCATGCGAATAAGTCATTCAAGACTCTTTCCGAGCACTATGCCTTTTGGTTCACATGATACACCCTAATATGTATCACACTACACGGAACTATTCCAAGCAATTCAGGAAGGCACCTTCAGCAAATGAGGGATTAGTTCTTAGAATGCACCTCGTGCGAGTCGACTCAAGAACGGTTCATGACGAGCAGTCAACTTCCGAAAGCACGCGAAGTCCGCGGAAGCAGCACCTCCATTAGGACAGGGGGTGGGGGAGATGCGTGGAAACTTGGAGCAGGGCGGAGGGCGATATCGCCCCCCCCCCCTGTGGCGGGGGCGGGCGGAGCGCAGCCGAGCTTCTGCCGCGTCCGCGTCGCGTCGGCCGGCGGAAACAATGCGGAGGCGGCCGCAGCAACGACTTTTTAAAAATGGCCAATAATTTCGGCCGAGCGGCGTAATCACAACGTCAGGCGGCTGACAGAGGCGCAGGACAGCGGCGTGCGTACGCGGCGCGCGCCGATGAACGGCGCGGGGGTGCGGGGGCGATTCCCGCCTCCGCCCTGCCTCAGTTTCCCACGCATCTCCCCCACCCCCTGTCGCTAATGGAGGTCTGCTTCCGCGGAACCTTTCGGGCGTGCTTTCGAAAGTTGAACTTCGTCATGAACCGTCTTGTGTAGTCTGACTCGGCACGAGGTGGCATTTCTAAGAACTAATCCCTCATTGCTGAAGGTGCCTTCCTGAATTGGCTTGGAATGTTCCGTGTTATGCAGTGTTGATACATATTAGTAGTTGGTTGTATCATGTGAACCAAAAGCCATAGTGCTTCGAAAGAGTCTTGAATGAACTTATTCGCATGAGACGAGGATGAATAAATAATCGGGAATTAAAGAAGCCCATCAGCAATCTTTTGTGTATGTTTAGTACAATATTGGAAAAAACGATTACGCAGTGATATTGAACACATTTTGTTTTGAACAATTTGCAAGTGCGCACGGAATTATCACTGCCACATTCGCAAAAAAGTTAAATCACCACGGGAGTGTATACAGTTTCACTATATAAATCTACTAAATATTTCAAGGAATAAAGTTTGGAAAAGCAAAACATTCTCTGGATCATGGTGCCGTGCCCGAATGATCCGCAATGTGGCTAAACCCAGTAAATCCAAATGCAGAAGTAGAAAAATTATTTCAGTTGTTTTTAAACTCACGATATTTGTTTTTTTTATTTTATTTATTTTACCTAGTGTGTATGTATTTCACTCCCTCTTCCTCATCTCACTATCCTTAAACATATAAGATTCTTTTCCCAATTGGACGATAAATTGAGTAAGATGGTTTCGTTTTCAAAAATTTCGTTTTTTTTTCTTAAACTGGTGTGATGTTATCGAGGAAACCAAAACTTACATTAGTCAAAACTTCATTAAACAAATTATATCACCGTCGCTTGGTTCTTTTATGTGAAAACCACCTCATTGAAGTGGGAAATGGCATTTCACTCGCGCTTTTTTCTTTACTGCTTGGAAAGTAGAACTAAAAAAAATCTCTTTGAAAGCGACTTCACTCCCATTGGCTTCCTCGATTGCACCGCCCCGCTCGTTTGGGCTTCGAAATTTTGTGCGCCCTCCGGCCGCGGCAGGCCGCATGTTCCCGCGTCTCCTCCGCCGCCCCGCTGCCCTCTCTAGAGCGCGCTGCTCCCGGGGCTTCATTAACTGAGTGGTTTGTTGCACGGTAGGATCCCGCGACGGCCCCCTTGACAAGCGCGGGAGTTGTGTGGGCTCCGAAAGGCCAAGCTCTGGCCCAGTGTGGAGGAGATTCTGGTAAAGTGATCGCATTCGTCTCTGAACTCACTTAAACGCCCACGCCCACCGCGTCGCCCCCCGACCCGCGCCGCTTGCCAGGAGCGGGAGGCGACATCCATGTTTAAATTGTTAAGGGGCCCCGGATTTTTTAATGACCTGAACACTGCAAAAAAGATGATGCATTAAATGCTCTTAATTTTTTTTAAATGTGCTTCATAAAGCAATTAAAAATGTCAATGGAAACATTTGATCCAAAACCAGTTCAGATGAACATCTAAAGGTATCGGACATATTAACTAAATGTAATTGAAGTTCTTTCTCCTTCCGCTAAAGGTGGAACTTAGCTTGCCAAAAAGTTTGGTTCTGTTATTCTTACAGAAAATATGTCCTTTAAGTTTTTTCCAAAAATCGGCGCTGACCCGACAATGGGCAACTTATAGGGTGTCTCTAGAACGTGGTAATTAGAATGATACTCACACGCATGATACGACAATGTGAGGCGGAGACATCCGAATAGGCTCACTCACGAATTCTGTGAGAATTACATTTGTTAATCTTGGAAATATATTTAAAAAAGTATCATTAAAATTGATGGTAAATAAATCACGAAATGTGGCGGAAAATGCTTTAAGAAAGATGACGAAAATAATACTTATTGTCGAAATTCAACAAAACTGATTTAATAAAAATGAATTTTTTTTCTTGACATAACATAAAATTAATGTTTTACTAAAATTATTGGTTTAAAGTGAAAAGAAAAAAATGGCATTCTCAATAAAACCGCCCCCTATTAATAATCACATTGCCCCCAAGACCATCGATGTTTTTTTCGAAATGGTGGTTTAGCATAGTAACCTGTAACATTTACGTTCTTGCGGTATAAGGTATTTTAATTTTATTGGTTGACCGTATTTATCCTTTTATAATTAAAGGATTTGTCAAAATAAACGAAAACATATAAGAACAATGATCAAAAACGACGCATAAACTCCTGAAATGCTCAGGAGGAACATACCAGATTCTCAGATAATACAGGCCAAGGATGCCTACTGCACAAGCCGGTTATTACACCTTATCTCTGAAATATAAGAAAAGCAAAAGAAAACCACGGACATTCGGGGTCATTCTCTGCCATGGGGAGATGTCTGCTCGGTGTGAAGGAGAAGGGTAGAATAATCAATTTCGCTTTCTGGCGTCATGATAAATAAATAAAAGAATGATTGTAACTGAGTATCAATATTTTAATTCAGCTTATCATTTCGTTTCATGCGTCATCACTTTGTTTTCGGCCCAGACTGCTGCCAAGCTCTGATGGAGTGATCCGCTACGCAATTCGAAATGATCATAAGCTGAATAAAATATTGATACCGACAATATCTTATTTATTTATCATAATAAAAAGGTATCTACCTCACCAAAAATCCAATTAATAAATTCGCTTCGTCAGTTTTACGTATCTGATCCCATTACATTATTCTGAACAATTATCAATTCTAATTTTAACAATATTGTTTATGTATTTTTTAAAAGCCATTGGAAACATATAAGCATCAAAAACAAAATATCCGGACAAAGAAAATATCAGCGTTCATTAAATAAATTTTGCCACCAGAAAATATTGATTATTTTGAGAAATATGCAATATCGATGTCGCTTTCCGCAGTTGCGTCGGTTGCATGACGGGGGGGCGGGGGGGGGGGCGAGGAACGTCAGGTCAATTACTTGGGCTATTGTACTGCATTACTGGGACTTTGTGCATTGTTGCTGTGCCTGTGATACAATACCTACCTTCGTGGTTTGTAAATGTTAAGTGTGGATCATTAACCATTATAAAGAGACTAATGTATTTTGTAAGCTTAACAGCGGCTCCAACGTTCGTTATTCGCGATACTATTATTACGATTTCGTAGTGTGGGTGAGTTGCTTGTTATTTGCCGAGTGCCGAAGCATTAAAGGTGGGTGCTCGACTATGCACGCGCTTGTGATCTTTCGGACACATCGGAAGTAAAGCGAACATTCCGGAAACACAGATCAGCTGTTCGGGAGCTGGGCGAGGCAGTAGCGCGGCAGAGGCCGAATGTGTGGTGCCGCCTTTTTAAACGTGGCAATGTTGGTCCACTGCACTTACGACGAATACCCGTGATCGGAATCGCGTCCTATTTATATCTCAGACTTCCAAGGCATAAGTGACTCTTCCGCTAAGGGGTGTTCCCCAACGTCACGACGAAGCTTCTACC